GGTGTCAGTTACACGTTGAGCACACATTATCTCATCCTCTCCTCAAATCCAGGCCGGTTCAATCTCCCTCAAAGAAGTCCAAGTAATTCTTGTTCTCAATAAAGTTACAAATTAAGACCTCTGTGGAAATGCCATGCTGATACCCTACAGGTGTTTCCTTGTTTACAAAGCCTGCAATCCAGGCTAGGTCTGCAATAGATGAGTTTGTTCTGTGAGGCAGGGCAACGCAGCTAAATTCCTAGAAAAAGAGAGATCTGTGAATATATGAAAGCTTAAAAGGTCATGGTAGGACTCTGTTACAATCAAAACAACTCAGTTTACTGAAAGCCTAAATCAATTGTGTATAGTGACATAGTTTGAGGCATTAAAATCACCACTTCAAATTTTAAAATCTTAATAATTGATATCCTGCATGACATCACTGACTCAGAATGCTAAATGTCTTACGTACCTTCTTCAACTGTCACAACCTTACAAGTTAGTACCTGTCCCACTTTACCTAGTAAAACATCTGCGTTTCACATTGGTTGGGTATTTATATCTCAGGGTAACAGAGTGGAGCCAGAACTCCAACAAAAGTCAAATATCAAAGTTTGTGCTTCTCGTTATCTTCCTCTGAGCCATGCACTATTTCTGCATGACTGTATTTGCAACTTATGCAAATTTATAGGGACAGAATCCATAGCTGTTACCAGGTTCCCAAAGGCATCGGGGTAAGTTATAGGTCTCATGACAACAATATCTGCACAATACAGAAGGGTATGATATCTATCGCTTTAGCCCCAAACAAGAACTCAAATCTTCTTTGTTCATTAGCTGAGCTTACCATCCTCTACAGTGTTCTATCATCCTAATTAACTGAAACAGCAAAACTCTAGTGCGGGATGAAAAACCATTCTATTTTCAGAAAGGGAAAACTCAAGAGTCAGAAACACGAAGGTTATTCAGCAAATTTAAGAAAAAACTTCCTGCCGGACTTTATTTATTCCATGGAGGCCAGGACAGACTTTTGCTTAAAGCCAGACACTCTGGACTCTGCCCTCACGCACAGACACTTCTGGATGTGAAAGGTCCGCGTCACGGGACGGGGAAAGGTACCGTGTTGAGCTGCCACTCACCCAGCCAGCCCGCCCCGCCTGCCACCGCCCCTCTCCCAGCCTTGGCTCAGCCGCAACTCCCCCGACCTGATGGATGCCGGAACCCACCTGCACCGAGCTCCTAGGGGTACACGAGTAAGAAGGGCATCCGGCCAGCGATTTCTATATCCGGAGCGCGGGGTTGGAGGGTACCGGTGTGGAGGAGCACTTCCGGATCGGCACCACTGCATCGCCAAAGCGTCCCGCCCCCGAGACTCCGCACCGCGAGGTCGCTGCTGCCCTCTACTGGCTGCTCCTCTCCCGGAGTTCTGCTCAAAGTGGCGTTCTCTGAGCCTGGGAAGCCCCTTCAAGGGTTCAAAGGGAGGAGAAGGCAGGAATAGATTCTGGGCGGGTGGAAGAGTGATCACAGCTACGGTTGTTGAGTTTGCAATATTGTCAGGCCCTCAGCTAAGGGACTTTGCATGCATCCAAACCTTCCTACAGATACAGGAGCCAGCCCAGGCTTCTGGAGCTCATGATCCTGCAGTAACTACACAGAGAAAAATTATCCCCGATCTCATGGAGCTTTCTGGGCAGTGACCTCCACAGAGACGATGTGATCATAAGTTTATATTTGTCCAACGTCAGGCAGCTAGATATTGATTGCAGCTAGATTAAATATCTAATTTTGGATGGCTCCAAATCCAAAGCTCGATTCTTTCCTAGACTTTGCCACCTAAGAAAGGAGAGGGTGGAGGGCCTTGGGTCTGAAAACATGGCTAGAGGATTGAGGCAAGAGATTGATGATTTTCAGCTGAGTTCACGGAAATATTACAGAAATTACAAAGAAATGTAAGTATAAAGAACTGAAAATATATAGAATACAGAATATAGTGGACACAAAAGTCAGAAAGCGTGAACCCATTTATTAACTGTGTCACTTAGAGGAATTCACACTATCTTCACATTGAATTCTTTATTTGTAAAACAGAGAAGGCACGTATTAATTTTTGGCCACTTTATGGGAAAGTTGGTTGAAAGACTTGGGTGTAAAAATGTTCTGTAGAGTGTTGGTTGCTATGTGGTTGCTAATAGCTGACTTTGGTTATCATAGTACCAGCACTAGTCAAGTGTTGTAATTCCACTTTAATATTTTATTTTTAACTTTATCTACACATGTGTCTGTGTGCAGGTATGTGCTCCTGAAAGCAGATGCCTCTGGAGGCCATAAGAGGGTGCTCCATCCCCTGCGACTATAGTTACAGGCAGTTGTGAACTGATAGGTGTGTGTTATAAACTGAACTTGTGTTTTCGCAAAGAGAAGAGAGTGCTTTTAACCACTGAGCCATCTCTCCAGCCCTGTGACCCCCTTTAAGATTTATCTTTATTTTTCTTAGGTGTGATAAACTCTGCACAATTATCTCTTTCCTTTTCCCTTTAGGCTTTTGTTCCAAAATTTGACAAGGTCCCTTGGCTTAGTGAGGCCAGCCTGGTGAACAAGCCTTTGGTACTCAGCATCCCTGGAAGGTAATACCCAGCTCCTGAGGACAAAACACTCGAGAAAGATCTCCGTGGGTGTGTTCTCCAGGGGAGAGCTGACTGTGGTCAGTGGAGAAATCAACTCAAGTGCACAAAAAAGATCAGAAACGCCCTGGAGTTCTCAAAGCTTCTGCTGTGTAAAGGCCTTGCTAGAGGAAACGAGGCCTGCATAACCTTCTATTCTGCCTCCACTATTCAGCCCCAGACACTAGCTCAAAACACTTCCATCTTTTCCTCCCCGGCTCTAGTTCCCAGCCTTCAAATTTTAACTCTCAAAAGTCTAGAACCAGAGCCTCCCATCTTTCGAGAGCAGTAGCTGCTGTTTCTCGCTTGGAGCCTTCTCCAGTTTTATCAGCCGCCCCCCCATCCCCCCCAAAATCCTCCCCCCTCCCCCCCCCCCCCCCGCCCTCTCCTGCCCCTTCCCCCCCAGCCAACAGAGAATACATTTCTGGTTTTGAAAACTGAGAATTTTTATGTAGGGGGCATTTCAGCTTCCACTTAAAAGAATTAGGTTCTTCATTAGCACCACACCCCCTTAGTAATTTTTAAGGGGTCTCTAGGTGTGGTGATGTCGCTGTTCTGGGGGGGGGAAGTAGGTAGGTTGTTAGATGATGGAGGGAGGGGAGTAAGGAATCTGGATAAGCAAGGAAGTCACAGAAGCAGTTTCATAGGCTTGTCATGGACTGGAAAGGGTTGCTAGAAAAAGCATTCTTTTCCCAGAATTTCCTTTCCTGTTGAGAATTGTTGTGCATTCTTAAATCTGTAAACAGATGACTCTGTTAGGGGTATCCGTACAACGCTTTCACTTTGTCTGCACTTTAACACAGTTCTCAGCAAGCTGATGGAAGGGTTTGTGTATTTTCAAAGCAAGCATCTGAGTGCCTATTTTCAGGTGTGTGTGTGTGTGTGTGTGTGTGTGTGTGTGTGTGTGTGTGTGTGTGTGTGTGTGTGTTTATCTGGCATGAGCAATCAGAGGTTCAATAAAGTCAAAGGTTTGCTTAGGAAGTAACCAAGTAATACATTTATTAAGAGTTGACAATACCTCGAGAGTCATCGTGAGTAATGACAACTTACCACCTTTTTTAATCGGGCTTATGTCATAAGCTCACATGCTGATGACAGTCAGATGGAGGCCACACTAATGAGGCTGGTCAGATGGAGGTGGCAGGGAACGGGAGAACTGAACAAAGGTGACATCCTGCCCTCTACCTGAGTCAGTGTTGCCTCAGATGTGCGAGTCTGGGGGCCAAATATGCTGGGTTTCCTAAAATCTGGAAATTTTCAGTTGCTTGTGCTTGACATCTAATAAGCTAACCGCACGATCCCACAGTACTCTCTGCCCATGAACCCAGGGGTGAGGCATCCCAGTGCATGTTCGTCTTGCCTCTAACTCCCCTGTGCCCTATACAAGCCTTTTGGTAAAAGGTGGGGGAGTAGAGAACAGAGCAGGGCTTGGGGGAGGCAGGCTTAGCACCCAGCTGGACGGTCATGGCACCTGTTCTTTCAGTGGCCAGTCCTGAGTGTCTTTCGGCAGCAGCGGGAAAAGGGATGCCATCATTTCCCCCCTCTGCTGGCCTCATTTACGCTAGTGATGAGAAGTTCCATAAGGTAGTAAGTGAAATTCTTCTCAGTCTTATGCTCTAAGACTGAGGTAGCAATCTCAATCTCTGCTTAGAGAAATGAGCCTACTCATGTCACCAAACTGTGACTGGACAGGACCTGTGAAGTGCCCTCAGCTCTCAGAGTACAGGGCAGGAACACAGCTTATTGGGAACAGAAGGAGGATAATTGACGTCTCGCCATTTATAAGGACAGAAACTCTTTACTTGTCCGGAGTTTCAGGTCCTAGAATGTTTGGCAATAATTTTCCTAAGCCCTTAGGGGATATTTCAAAGCACTCAAAGTATTCCATGCCCTTGGACAAAGCAGAACCAATAGAATGGTCTAGAAAGGGTAAAGGAATGTTTAGTGAAATACATCTCAGAACATCACAGCTTCAAAGGAGCCCTGGAAACACAGCTATGGGGATGGAGGTGAGACCTGCAAGCCCCCCAAGGAAGTGATGGGGAAGTGCCTGGACAAAGCTACTTCCTTCCAGGAGCACTCTCCCAGCTTGGCCGGTCTGTGCGAAGCCACACCCACTGTCCAAAGCTGCTCAGGACATAGAGGTCCTGTTAATGAGAGATTATTGTGTACCGAAGCAGGACCAACCTGGCCTTCTTGCCTTTCCTGGTCACTTTTGGGATAATAAATCCAAGGCAGCCCATTCCCATAACAGAGAAGCCTGTGGAGGAATTCACATCAGCCCACCCCCTCCTCTGCCCCCCCACCCCCACCCCACTTCCCAGGACCCAGGGAAGTGTCAGAGAAATGAAACAGTAAATACGTGATGGACGCCACACTCCTTCCACATGAACAATGAACAATGAAGTCCTTCTCGCTAAAGGGAGAGGTGTTCTTGGCAGAGGATCAGCACTTCATATTTCCGTCCCTTGGATGGCAGGGCATGCCCAGTGTCTCCCCACCCCCACACCAAGGCCTCAGTCCCTAATACTTTAACTAAAATGAACTTCAATGGGAATCCTGTGGAGATTCGTGGTATTGCCCTGTTATATCTCCATGTCACTGATAACTGGGAAGAATGTTCCAGGGAAAGATGGTCTGTGGGAGGGAAGAGGTAAGTTTTGTGTGCAGGGGCATAACTTCCAGGAAAGGCAGCCAGGCATGAAGGGATGGGTTCTCCATCTTGTTAAAGACTTCCTATCCATCCTTTGAAGAGGGAACCTAAGGAGCATTTCATTCCATGCACTCCTGCTTTCAGGGGCAATCTTTTCCCGATTTATTTATGTCTCATCTGGGGCTGTTGTTGGTTAGTTTAAAAAGAGAGGAGGGGGAGGGAGAGAGGACAGAGCGCATGTGGGAGCACCTCCAAGGCCTGAGCCCCATGGCCTGAGCTGTGCAGAACCGCAGAATTGGAGCAGGAGGCGGGGCAAGTGCCCATGCCTTGTCTCTGGAACAGCTGGGGCCTGTGTCTGCAAGCCAAGGACTCTGATTCTAACCTCCTTTTGCTTTGGTCACTTAGATATCATTCCTCTGCCGCTGTTCTGACTTTATGCAAGAAGGGTATGGATTTGCCAAATTTGCTTCAAGTTCCAGATGTCATATATCAGGTACTCAGAACGTTTTCACTGAATCTGCTGGTTACTGTCTTGCCTCAAGAGAGTAGAATATTTTGTGGACACTATATCTTTTCCTTTATCCCTAATATAGAGTATGAATGTATTTCCTGTCCCCGTAACATGATTCTGTGCCTGGCACATAATCAGTACCCAATGCATATTTATTTGTTTAATTAAGTGAATTTGTATCACCACAAATAGAAACAGGTTTTATTTGTGCTTACCCTGACTCAAGTATTTTAGTACTCCAGTATGCCATAACTAAAAATAATGTTAGAAATACCAAAAAGGGAAAACAGAAATTGATTATAGAAGAGTCTGCCAGAAGCCCTTCAGAGACAACATCTCAATGGGTAGCTAGATGGTCCTTAGTTTCTAGAGACTACCCCAGCTTCTTCCTGGCCCCCATGAATGACTTCTGTCTTCCCCCAAACAAATCCCTACACCTGTGGACCTTCCATTTAAAAAGCCCACCCTTCCCGACCAGCTCACAGAAAATCCAATACAGCTGGTTGCTGGTGGTCCCTGGAGTCACTGTGTGGCACAGAAGCATCTAAGCTAAGGTACTTGATCTGTCTGTACTTGTAGAGGGAGGAGAGGAAAGAGGGAGGAGGGGAGGGAGGGAGGGAGGGAGGGAGGGAGGGAGGGAGGGACACAGCCGGTGGTATTAGGAATCCCTTCTCTTGTAAAACTGCAGGCATTCTCAGGACTGTTGCTAGGCAGTATCTGAAGGAGGAGAGTTCCCACAGCACTTGGCCCAGTGCCCAACACGGAGTGAGCACTCAGTTACTCTAAGCAACAATTATTAGGAGCCCTCATGTCAGTCAATGCTGACGGAACCCTTTTTATTTATTCTAACATACAGAAAAGAGTAACTCATTTGCAGCCCACACAAATGGAACAAGGGCAGGCTAGATGGGACTGGGACGAGAGTGGTGATGGTCCCAGAAACATCAGAGAATGGGACAAAGTGCTTGAGAAGGTGGAGGAAGGGAAGGTTACTCCAGGTTGGGGAGGGGCGAGGAGAGAGGGAGGGTAACACGTTTACACCTATAATTCAGAGCCAGCTTAGAGAAAGAGCAAAAGAGATTTGGGTAAAGGAAGGAATATTAGAAAGATAGGGCGCCTGGGAGTGTAGGAAATGTTTGAAGAACACCCAAGGGTCAGCGCTTCTCCGAAGGGGAGCAAGCCTGCTTGTGCCCAGCCAGAGCACAGAGAGCCCATAAAGCCACGAACTGTGAGCAGACATACCTGTTTCAGCACAGGGGTGTTTGGGTCCAGGCTGTGCTAAGAGTCACCACATGAGGCCCCCTTCACACCCTGAACAAGCCAGGCTGCTATGAATGACATGCACGAGGTGAGGGGGAGAGGGAAGACAGACTGACAGAGGGTCACGCTTTCAGTCACCCAAATCTAAACTATTAGACAAGCTCTCGTCTGCTGCCAACTGCCTGCTCCCCAAGGTTTGCCCTGCGTCTCAGTGCACTGTGGCAGCCTAGACATCAGGACCCCAAAGCACACCATCGGCTGCGGCAGGTGGCTTTCCTAAACACTGGTAGAAGCCGCCTTCTTGCAGTGCCTAGCATTTTGTGACTGCAATACTGGTGGCTGGCCACTAGAGAGCAGTTAGGAGCAACAGCTTCCAGCAGCCTGACCAATAGCAGATCTGAGAGACCAGTCTCTGGGCAGACCTAAGAGAAATCCCAAACGCACTGCCTGAGAATGAGAAATGCATGGATTTCACCCTCATTTTTGTCTCACTAGGGTCTGCTCCTCCACTGTTGTGTGAATGAGAAAGAATCACCCTTGTCGGTTGGAAGGGTCTCTGAGGATCTAGGATCTTTGCTCTGTTAGGCACCATGAGCTTAAGAATCCTTCTCACATATATGCCTCGAGGTAAACACAGGCTCAGCAGCTGCTCCTTTCCAGAAAGAAACTGTCATGCCTCAAGGGAATGGAATGTTTTGTGGACACTCTATCTCCTTCCTTATCCCTATGCCAGGGACCTGCCAAGAAACTGCTAATCATTGTACGGCCAACCAGAGGCCCTGGACACTGTATAGGTGCAAAGGTCCTGACACCTGGCTCCCTACCTCTTCATCATCAGCAGCCAAAGGGCACAATTTGAACTCTCACATTCCACAGTAACATTCCTCACTTATCCTGGAGGGGCCATGCAGCAGCTGCAGGTACAAATGTGCCTGAAGCAGACAGAGAGTCTGGTCTGGGAAAGGGGGCAGACAGCAAGAGTAGAGGGGTCTAAACATGAAGAGACAGCGTCTAAAACAATACCCATGAGACGGGGGAGGGGGGCGGGGGGGACAGATAACAGGAAAGGGCTTTTGAATGAAGGTGAGAGATGAAGCCTAAACAGTCCCTCCAATGTTTACTGGGCAGAATTTTCACTAGCCACACTCTCACCTAGCATTTCACCTCATGCCAGGAAGGTTACTTTTTCTACATGGGAGGGGGGTGCATGGGTGACCTGGGGAAGGGCACCTGGAGGCTCTAAACCTCCTTGGCCAACCTGCGGGGCTGAGGATGAGCTAGCCAGGACTTGCAGGCTCCACACTGATTACTGTTCTCTCAATGCTTTCCCTCATTGGCTCTCCACTCCCTTTGATCCGACTTTGCTTTTCCGATCTAATGAAGTCAGATTAAACATGACAGTATTATTTATTTTGCTTTTAGCAGACCTGCGACAAAAAGCTTTGGCTGAAGGCATTGTTCAATATCAGAGGGCCAGCTGGGAAACAATAAAAGTTGAATCCCATTTTTCTCACCACTAAGCTCTTTAGCTAATTATTTCTCCTTGATTCTAAATTTTGAAAGTCATAACCACAAAGGAAACTACCTCATATAGTCCTAAGTCCTTTTTCTGTTTATATTTATCAAATATATACAACTATAAAAACAACTTTAGAATAACAAAAATGACTGTTGTAAAATGATTGTGGTCACAGAACTTACATTTAATATATCTGTATAGTAGATGCTTGGTTCTTTTATGTATGCTTAATATTTTTCCTAATGAATAGTAGGGGGACTTTTGGACTTATTCTTTGATGGAAATTGATATTTTCAGATAGAGAGGAAAGGTGTAATAATTTTATGAGTTTTCTAAAATAGTGAACTGACTACCCTTTCAGCTTTAAAGGTATAGGGCTAATTATGCCCTCAAGTAGACTCTGAAGATCCACTTTTACTCTGAGGGGAAAAAAAGCATCTGTCTTTGACCCTTTTATAAAAACAAAACAAGACAAAAAGTTTCCATCATGGAAACTAAATGGGTGAGTTATCAGGTAAGTCTCTTAGACTTTTGGGCTACTGTTTCCTCACTAGGTTAGTTAAGAAAGGAAACCAGAAAGGTCCCTGTCAGCTAAGTCAGGAGTAGAACAAGGGAAAGGAATAGATGTGATGAAGGACAGAAAGGACATAGGCAAATTATCAGTATATTGAAATCAAGCTTGTCTTGTCTATTTTTAAAATCACCATCTGTTACTTACATTTTCAGTTTTTGTTATGTAAACAGGTGTGTGTGTGTGTGTGTGTGTGTGTGTGTGTGTGTGTGTGTGTGTGTGTGTGTGTAAGCATGGGAAGAATGAAATAAACTTCAAGTTCTTTATCAAGCATTTTAGAAAGCCAAACTCTTGTGCCATGAGCCAGTTCTTAGGAACCTTTAGAAAATATTGTCCTAAAATAAGATCTTGCAGTTATGAAACATGAAGAGGAGTCTTCAACATCTGGGGACTGGTTGACGTCTGGTTACACCCCTGTTGGACTTTCTACAGGTTGCTGTCACCTCCCTGTTACTTCTGTCTGCTGTCTCGAGAACAGCTGCTTAGGAAGTAAGGGACACAGTACTGTTCAGTGTCTGTCACTGGAGAGATGATATCACAGGAGCTTGGCTGTGAGCCTGGCCAGTTTTCTGTCCATTGCTGCTGCTGCTACTATGCCAACCTTAGGGAAGAGAGTAAGGTGGGAATGGTACATCTGGGAAAGACCTAGGCCCCATGGCTGAGAAAGAAAGTGTGACCAGAGGAAAGGAGCCCTCTCGAACATGGAATCCAAAATGATTTACATCACCTTTAGATGTGCCTATTGCAGCTGCCTCCTGTAACTCTAAGCCCGCTTACCCTCCAAAGAAAGAGGAACGGAGCAGCTCTTCTAGGAAGCGGGACTGGCTGGTTGTGAGTCTGAGCTGGAGCACAGCCAAGAGTAGTTTGTGCTCTTCGTGCACTGAGTTGGCAGGACTAGCACATCTGCTCTGTCCTTCTGGCCACAGCGACTACCATCAGGAGGGACTAGGGGGCCCAAAGAACCTATTGGCTACTACTAGCTCTACTAGGTTTGGAACAGAGCCCTTCAGGCTCCCAACCTGTGCTTCTCTCCAGCACCTTATGCAAAATATAACACTAATGTCCTGAAAGATTTGTGTAATACAATGTTATAACAGAAATCTTTGTGTATGTGTCTATATTTGCATCTGTTAATTCAAATGCCATACCATGACTCATTTATTCAATATTGGTTAAATTGTGCACATGTGTCCACTATGGGCTCTAGAAACACAATGTGCAAAGCATAGTTCTTGCATTTAAGTAACTCTTAGCTGGTGGTAGAAACAAAGAGATTGTTTGAACAAATCATAAACTTCAAAGAAAGTTTTACCAAGTCTATAATGGAATCAGAGAGATAGGCATCCAGCTCAGTCTAAAAGGGCGATAAAAGATCGGACAAGGAAGCAGGTTTTCTGAAAAGTGTGATAGCTAATGTCACCTGGTCAGAATCTAGAATCACCTTGAAGAGCGGCCTTTGCCCATTGTGTTAATAAAGATGGGGAGACCTGTCAATTGTGGGTGGCACTATTCCCTGGGGAGGGGATCCCGAACTGAGCACTAGCATGCAAGCATTCATTGAACTCTGCTTTTGACTGTCAATGTGGAATACCCAACTGCGTCAAGTCCTTGCCACCTTGACTTCTCAGCCATGATTGCCTGCACCTTGGAACTGTGAGACAGAGGAAACCCATATGTTGCGTTGGTCAGTGTATTTTATCACAGCAGTGGGGCGGGGGCGAGCTGTGTCTCAAAGCATAGTGAGTTAACAAGAACACACTAAGAATCTACAGAATATTTTTATCCTTTTGATGCCAAAGGATGCTAGCCACCATTGTTCTGGAACTATATAAGCATGAACTGCACCTTAGGGATTTCACTAATATATTTGCCCCTTGGCTTGTGACAAACTCTGATCCTAACCCACAAAGGGTCTAGTAGTATTCTCTGAGGAACCCAGAAGTCCTGAAATGTGGAAGCAACTGACTACAGAGATCTACATAGACCTCTACTACAAATGAGCTAGCCCAAGGATTGCTTCACAGCTGCTACCCTCCATCCAAGTCTTCTTACCAATCAAGCCCACCATCAGTGCCCCTTCTAGGAATGCTTTCTTTATTCCTACACTGAGAAGTAGTCCCTGTCTCCTTTCTAAGGCCCCAGAGGTATCATTGATGCTTTGGGTGGCAGTTTTTGAGAGGTACCTGAGTCTCAAGACCTTAAAAATATGGTAAATGGATGGAGGAGCCTGAGCTACAGAGTAGACCACCCCCAGACTGCCTGGGAAGACATGGCAGAGAGTTGATTCAGCTCAAAACCAAGGAGCATACACAGAGAGCTTACTCTCCAGCCCCTCTTCTGACCCAGGCCCTTCTCCCACCAGGCAACCAGGATGTTCTAACCTCCAGAGGATGATTTACTTGGTTCTTCTCCCAGGTTATTGCATACTGTTTTCTGGGCCTGGGATGCCTTCCCCTTCTCTTGTTCACCAGAAAAGTGCCTATCTACGCATCTCTTGACGTTTTACTCTTCTCAGACCCTCCCCTCTGTCCCTTACTCCCAGTGAACTCAGCAATGCCCGCCGGCTTCACGGGGCCTCCAGCAGTTATTTCTGTCATAGTACCTTCAACACGGTTAGAGTCTGAGCCCGAAGTGACTCCACGGAAGTTTGTGTTTCCTGCACTTCATCTGCAGCTTAGGGTCCTATAGAGAAGGGTCTAGAGCCTTAGAAAGTCAGGCCCAGCTGGAAGTAAGAGCACTTGGGACTAGACTCGGAGGGTTATGCCTACCCTTGGTTCTGCATGAGCCGTCTACTTGCTGGTCCACTGTCATGTGAACATGCCCGCTGCCATCTTCTCTTACTGTCATGGAACAAATGGCTCTGTTCTGCCTCCCCCACCACGATGGACTGAAATCCCTGACACTGTAAGCCAGAGTAAAGCTTTTCCATCTTCACTCTGTTGGGTGTTTTGTCCCAGCCCAGAGAAAGGTAGCTAATGCAACAGTCATGCTTGTGGGATTCAGATTGCTGGATGGTGAGCAGCTTGACATGAGGAGCTGTGCCTTGTCTACCTGAGTGTACCTAACGAATAGTGAATTTGTATTATCTTCATATCTTCCTGAGAGCTTTGGCTTATTCATGTTCCCATATGGCACCACCCCATATATGGTGGCCTCACAATAAATACTGGGTCTTAAATTATTGAACCTACCCATTTACACTCATGCTCTCACATGCCAACCCATAACATTAATACTGCGTTGATTCTTTCTCATGTCCTGTAAAAAATGAAGCATATTTTAAATATTTGTCAGTAGGATTCAGTCTTCGAACTCCAAATGCCATGTATCTTTCAGAATGAAACTACTTGCAGATCAATGTGGCAAAGGTCACCTTCGGTGCACACTCATCATGCTGGGTAGACGTGTTCATCCTCTCCTGTCTCCCACACCTCCCAGGACAACAGGAATGAGTCAGGGCATACATGGGTCAAATGGAAGGAGAAAGCTTAAGTTGATAGTCATTGTCTGCTTATCCCTGTGGCGTCCTTCCTGCCTATGTCCTATACTTTCTGTGGGTATATCACATTACTCTGATGTCAGTATGCATCAAAGGGTACGAGATAGAATCTCCAAATGTAACTTTAGATTCAAGTTCTCACCTGCCTCCTAAGGAAACCTCTGCCAGAGATGTGTGTTAGAGCCCCCTGCTCTGGGTACAAATACCCTGAGGCTTTCTCCCATTTAGTGGAGACGAAGTCAGAAAGACAGTGGTCTTTACAGTGAATAGAAGGGTACCCTGTCCTCCTTTTCCTGGCTGTTCCTTTGCCCTGGTTGCCACAGCCTTTCTTCCCCAAAGGAGGGGCCTCACAACATGTATACGAGCTCTAGTTCAGCTATGACTTAATGCATGATGCACAGAAAGGCCCGCTGAAAGACTTACAGGAAAGTCTTCATTGACTCAGAAGTTCTCAGGCCATTTGATGGGACTTGTTTCAAAAATGGGGGGAATGTGCTGCCTGTAGGGAAATACAGCCCTCTGCCACATGTGCACAGGCTAAAAGGCAGAGATCCTACTGTATTTTAGTCCCTAGTCCCCTGTGCTGGCTGTTCTTACATTTCTGTCACTGCGTACAGCAGCCCCAAGGCCACCACTTTGTCTGTGGTCACTCCCTCCTGCTTAAGCCCTTCCTGAATCTGTAAACTGCAGCAAATCCCAGATTCAGCAGCCACTCCAGAGTGCTGAAATCGGAATATCCATCTCCCTGTTTTTAACCTCTTTCCTGCCCTTGGTATCTATCTTACCCTCTCCTCACCCGTCTCTGTCTCCTTTCCCGTAGGCCAGAAAGAACAAGCATGAAAACCTGTCGCCCAGGAACAAGCAGCTATGCTCCACATGTCGAGAAATAAAAACGGTAGGCAAAGGGGCCACAGACAGGAAGTTCCCAGGTACAGAACTCCCCTTCCTCCACTGGAGCGCTGAAAGAGAAATCGTGATGGGGCCCTTTTCAGAGCTTACAAAGGAGCCTGTGGGTCCTGAGAGAAGCATCAACTGATATGATATAACCACCTTTCTCCATTTCAGGGAGCCCTAAGTGAGCCAGGGTAGGTGGACCAGAGATGAAGAACGCGGAGAAATAGCTGAAATAATGGGCTCTTGCCCATCAGCCACTCTGGGGCTCGCCATTAGCTACATGCTTAGAGATTCCAGGAGATATGGAGCTTCTTCTCTCACCATGACATCTCCACAATCCACACACACACACACACACACACACACACACACACACACACACACACACACACACACACACGCATATACTCAGGCACACATGCGCGCGCGCACAAGTCTTCTCCATCATTACAATTCTGAAATAAGCTGTTTACTTTGGAGTTTATCATTAATTCAGTCTGAGCCTCAGAAGAGAGCTAGGGAGAGGTTCTATAGTAGCTTCAGCCAGCCAGAGGTGTCTCTTGGCCTGGATAATTATACTTTGTAATGGAAATTAGTGGAAAGAAGAAGTGTTATGAGAAAAGCAGACTTTCAGGAGATCTGGAAGGGAAAAGGACAGTGCTGCCACATGTTGGAGCTGCTACAGAAAAGAGGCCTGTTTTAGGGGAGATCCCAGGTCAGAATTAGGACACAGGTTAATTCAAGGATTAGGATTGGGGTAGCGTGGCTATGAGGGTTAGAGTAGGGATCTGACTTGGTTTAAGGGTGATTTAGCTAACTGTTAAGTGCAGGTGATAAAGGACCACTTCAAGCCTGATATCCACTAATTCTCCTTGGACTTAAAATGCCAGGGCTAAGGTTATAATAAGACAAAGGGTTAAAGGATGAGAGAGTACAGGGACCGACTGGATAAGGAAGTCTGAGCTGAGGGATAAGTGAAGGTGAGTCGAGTGAATCTGTGTGTGGTGAAGCTGTGGCAATCGCTGCTGCCTTCAGTGTTGCCGTCTGTTAGTTTTCCACACGCCGGGGACCAGGGTTCAACATGAGCATTGACTGTGGCCTGGACAGGGATTTCTCCTGCTTTTGTTCCTGGAATCACAGTTAGAGTGCCTTGACCTCAGCGCTAAGCTGGCCACGGCCAGCTGGCACACTGGGGACTTGAGAAGTTCCTGTTCTCAGGACCTCTTCCCTGACCTTTGCCCTAGCACGGGCCTGACAAGAGTAGACCCATGGGCCCATTGCTTCACTGCTGGCTACAGCTGCCAGAGTAACAGCCTTCCAACACAACGGTGCCTAGGAACACTTCCCTGCAGCCGTCAGAACTGGCTGAGAAACTACAGAAAGGGAGAAAGCAAGCCTGAAATGCTAGCCTCACACTGCACAGTATCCTCCAAGGGAAGGGACTATTGCATGGGTGGAGTTTCTCTGTCACCCATCCTTCCTTAACAGCTCATTCAATGAAGATAGCAGGGAAGGATGTAAAGGCCCCTAGGAGTGGAAGAGAACTTTATCAGCCTAGTAAAAGGTATCCACCACAAAACCACACATAACATCATGCTTAAGGACCAAAAACTAGATTATTTCCCTAAGACCGGACATGATGCGATGTCTACACTCACCCTTCCTAGTCAGGACTGTAATGTACTTATTGCTGGGGCAATAAGAAAAACTTCAATGACCTGTCACAGTTGCCAAATAAGAGCCATACATTAGAAAGAAAAAAGCAAACCTATTTCTATTTAAAGATGATGTGATTTTATATAGAGAACACCCCAAGACACACACACACACACACACACACACACACACACACACACACACACACCTATGACAGCTAATAAATTAGTATAATAAAGTTTCTGAACACAAAAATCAATATGCGAATATTAAATTATTTCTATACACGAATAACAATTCCAAAATAAAATTAAGAAAAGATTCTCATTTACAACAGTATCAAGAGGAGAGTAAAATGCATTAAAGAAAGAAGGATTAGATCAGCACACTAAAAGTTTTTTAAAGCATGGAAAGTAATTAAGGAAGACCTCTAAGTGGAAAGCAGCCCGTCTTCCTGGATTGGAACATCTAATATGAAAATGGTGAGTCTCCCCAAATGCATCTATAGACGTGGCGCACTGCCACTTAAAACCCAGACAGCCTCTTTGCAGAAACTGACGAGCAGATCTAAAATTTTATGTCAAAATGAAAGAGATGCAAAATAGCCAAACCAGTCTTGAAATAGAAGAACGAAGTTTGTGGATCACACAGCCTAATTTGAAAACTCACCTCGAGGCTGCAGTCGGGATGATGTGGCATTGACACAGGAATAAATGTGGAGAGCACTGGAATGAAACTGAGGTTTCAGAATTAAATCCTTGCATTTCAGAACAACTGACTTTTTTTTTTTACAAGGATGCTATCAAAATTAAATCAGGAAATAAATTCATCTCAGTAAAAATCACTGGGACAATCAGATATAAATATGCAAAATAATGAGAGGGTGCTTTTCCCTCATAACATAGTGAAAAACAATTCTCACAATATATCAGAAAACCCTTGTGATTGTTGATAAGCCAGTTGTTTCATATATATATATATATATGTATGTATGTATGTGTGTGTGTATATATATATACATATGTATGTAAACAAAAAGTGCAAACAAAGAAGATATAAATCAATTGATCTATCAATACAAACCCTGACAATCCTGGTCATTAGAAAGCTTCATAGTGATCCAAGCTTGGAGACCAGTTAGGGGAACAATCCCAAGTCTGCACACTCACTTTACTTTTGAGAAGAAACATCTCCCTGTCAAGCCCAAGTCACTAAGTCACTATAACTAGGTGCCATCCTGAAAAAGGAGCTAGTGATCAAACTTCATCACACTCAAGGGATTAGAACGATTCTGATGACTTCACAGGCATTCTGCCACACTCGCACAAGGACCTGAACTCACAACCAACTTGACTCCGATGTGACAATAGTACCAAGCCCATATAAGACCCTGCACTAAAGGAGATGGATGTTTTACCATGGAGGGGACAAGGGTGCCACTCTCAAAAACTGAGACGACAAAAGTCCTAGCCCCTGAGACCTAAGGCGTTGGCAGCCCTTGGAGGCAGGCAATATGCTGTAGTCTTTTGTTTCTGCTGAATCCCAAGTGGCTGCCAATAGGCCCATGCCTCCATTCAGTCTGGGACTGAGAACAGGCTTAGTGCTGTGTACATAACTGGGTATGGGCCCCAGCCATTACTGGACAAAGAAGATTCTAGGACACTCTGCTATTACTTTTTTTTTCAGTTTTTTTCAAGACAGGGTTTCTCTGTGTAGTTTTGGTGCCTGTCCTGGAACTCACTCTGTAGACCAGGATGGCCTCGAACTCACAGAGATCTGCCTGGCTCTGCCTCCTGAGTGCTGGGACTAAAGGTGTGCACCACCACCACTCAGCTGCTATTACCTTCTTTATGGCCAGCTGCTTGTGAACCCTACCGCACTAGGGCCAAGAATAGATAGAGTTGTTACCTACCACCTCCTTCCCCCATGCCCAGTTGCTCATGGGCCCGTGCCACCAACATGACTTGGGCCGGGTACTGCATGATCCCTATTACCAGTGAATGTCAGAGGCCCTTGAAGGGAACAGAGCTTACTCTAGCAGTTCCTGACAAAGCTACCACATCCTTGTTGTTACCACTTCCATAGTTGTTAAGACCACATAGGGAGACATGCCACCCCAACTGTTGTGTGTACCACACCTACACAGTGTCCCCAACCCCAGTTCTCTTGAACTCCACTATAGTACACATTGCACTCAAAGCTTTTGATTACAGTCAAGGAATGTATAGGGAGACCACCCATCGTTCCTAGCCAGAAGCAAAGCCAGAAGCAAAGCCAACCTGGCATGCCTGACCCGTCTTCTAGAACAGCACTCTTCAACCCAGGGGTCACGACCCCTCTGAGGGCTGCATATCAGCTATTCACATTACAGTTAAACATACTATTACAGCGGCAGCAAAATCACAGTTATGAAGTAACAAGGAAATCATTTTATGGTTGGGGGTCACCACAACATGAGGAACTGTGTTGAAGGGTCACAGCATCATGAGGGTTGAGAGCTGCTGTTCTAGAGAAGGCCCCTTAGTGTGAAAGTTGCCTTATAAAAGTAGTAGAGATAACCAAACCACCAGATACTCAAATTGTGACATAGAAGCACAATGAATATTCATAAAACAAGGTAATGGATGCTTCCAAAAAACACAGTAATACCCTAGCAATAGATAAATAACTAAGCTGATGAGATGCCTGCTGAAGAACCTAAGAGAGTGGCTGTAAAAAATCTCAGTGAGATCAAGAGGATACAGAGAGTGGAATGAAATTGGGAAAACAATGAATGATGTGAACATAAAATTCAGCAGAGATATTTTTTAAAAAACTAAGAGGAGGCCCGGCAGTGGTGGCACATGCCTTTAGTCCCAGCACTTGGGAGGCAGAGCCAGGCAGATCTCTGTGGGTTCAAGGCCAGCCTGGTCTACAGAGTGAGATCCAGGACTGCCACCAAAACTACATGGAGAAACCCTGTCTCGAAAAACCAAACAAACAAACAAACCTAGGAGGATCTGTGGAAAAGAAGAGCTCAATGAGATGAGTTTTTAAAGTAGTCAAAACCTTAACACTGGACTAAAATTATTCTACTACTTAAGTAGAATAATTTCTAAACTTAAAAATAGATCTGTGAAAATATCCCAGCCATGGAGCGATGGCTCAGTGTTTAAGAGCTCTGACTGCTCTTGCAGATGACCTGGGTTCAATTCCCAGCACCCACATGGCAGCTCACAACCGTCTATAACTCCAGTCTCAGGAGATCTAATGCCTTCTTGCCTCATCGGGCATCAGGCATGCATAAAGGCAAAACACACATACACATACACAGGAAATGAATGTCTTTAATAAAGTAACATAAAA